AAAAAGTTTTAAAATAATGATGTACCTTACACCATTCTCTAATTAAAATTTCCTTTTACTGAGTTAATATATATATATTTTTTGCTTCATTTACTTATTTTTAGGTTTTTCTTTGCAGTGATTTTTAACTTTTAATCATTTTTATATAAATTTTGCTACCATATAGAACTTAAATTAAAAATTAATTTAAAACAAGTTTTAATACTAAAAACAAAAAAATATAAATTTGTTTAATATTATTAAAGCTATTTTTTCTTTTTTTTTTAATATTCATGATTTTATATTGTAAAAACACAAGAAAGTAAATAAGTTTTTTTTTTTAAGTTTTAAAATTTATAAAAACTAAAAACCAAAATCATGTTAAATAAGCCTAATTAGTATTTAAAAAAAATGCTGTGTAATTCAAATTGTACCACATTTATTGAATTATATAATACTTATCATTAGATGAGACAACTTTTGGATATTTATTAATAATATTTTGGTAATTTTAATACTTGTATTGCAAATATATATATACAGTATATATCCAAAAACATTAATTTCATTTAATTGAGAAGTAATTGGCTTAAAAAGTTAAAAATTATTTTTATATGTAATAAGTATAGTTATTACATGGAAAGACACATTAAAAATATGTTTGTACTAAGGAAAATTGAAATGAGGGTGAGAAATGGAAGAATATGATATCTTCTCATTCCCCTCCAATTTTTTAGTTACCAAATAAAAATTCTATTCTTCTTCAAATATACCATAAAACTACATGATTTAATCAACAATGTATATTTTTAATTTTGACTTACATATTGAGAGACAATCTTATTCCTCAAACCATCTTAACTACATTTCATATAAATCAAATCCATGATAGTGATGCTTGATTTTATCTAAACATGTTTCTTTAATTGTTTTGATATTTTATTTCTAGCCCTATTTCGTTTACAAAAAATTCAAATTTGATTCTTGCTATTCTTCCAATGATCATCTATTATGGTTTATAACTATGATTGATTCTTGTAATTTATTTTTGTGTCAAATATTTGTTGAAATATATTAAAAGTTGTTCTTTAGAAAGGAGTAGCATAGGAAAATCTAAAAAAATCCTTAAGAAATGTTAGTGTAACTAAAGGCAAAGCAAATTAAAATATTTGGCGTTGTGAGATTCAATTTTTATATTTTTGTTAAAAATTATAGTTTGATGGTTTTATACTGTATAGATTCAAATAGGGGGAAATATAAAAAAAATTATGTAAATCATTGGAATATAATTGTTTTCAATCACTTTGGAGTGCAATCATTGTATTTTTTTTTTTTTTTAAAATGGAAATAACTCTTTTCTTTACAAGCTTTCATTTTCATCTTGAAACTCACTTCTAAACCCCTTTTTTTTATGTTTTCAACAAGAAATACATTTTCGAAACAAAAGTTGGAGATCAAGGTTGTTCTGCCTCCTCAACTATTGGTGTCAAGACTAACTTCTTCTTTTTCTTCTTCTTTTTTTTTCTTATTTATTTTAAAGAAATATAATGAGAATTATAAGTATATGATTATTAAAGATAGCTTAGCTTAAGCCTTATTTATTCTACTAGCATTACAATTTTTAATGAATAATTATTTTAAACTAAATGCAAAATATGAGCTACTATTAAGTTGTTTATGTTTCATAGATTTACTTTATGTTTCTCATCTAGATTTGTTGAGTTTTGGAGCTTTCTTGGCTATTTTTGAGGGATCTAGTGATCATTTACTTGAAGTTCTCACAATAATGTTGATTGCATGAGTTTTAGTAGTATAGGATTTCTTGTTTTATTAGAAATATCTATAAGAGTGGTTATAGTTAAAATAAGTTGAAGGTTTAAAAGAATTCTTGTGAATCATTTATTTTACTCTTCATGGATGATTGGTCATGCTTCATGGATGATTGGTTATACCGCTTTCCTAGTGCAAAGATAGGTCTTGGGAATATGCATTATTGGGATAATCATGTAATTCTCTTTTAAGTCATGATGCTTTGCATACTATGAGAATTTAGTTCTCACAATAATGTTGATTGCATGAGTTTTAGTTGTATAGGATTTCTTGTTTTCTTAGAAATATCTTTAAGAGTGGTAATAGTTAAAATAAGTTGAAGGTTTAAAAGAATTCTTGTGAATCGTTTATTTTACTCTTCATGGATGACTGGTTATACCCTTTTCCTAGTGCAAGGTAGGTCTCGGGAATATGCATTATTGGGATAATCATGTAATTCTCTTTTAAGTCATGATGCTTTGCATAATATGAGAATTTAGTTCTTAGTC